TTGTGTTGTCAAGCGGCCCTATTCCCTGCGCCGCCCGAAACGGCCTGGCGTCCTGCGTGACTCAGGATGCTGAATATTGCGCCGGAGTAAGTATTGAGTTCTTCGAGGGGGTATTTCCCGCAACTGTGACTTCTGTCTTCATTGATCTTTCCGGAACAAACTGGGAAGCTTTTTCCCGAAAATCCGAAACGATGCCCAATGTATTATTTATTCATGTATTTGAAGAACAGTCGCCTTTTCACATTCTATAAAGTATGTTTGATATCTTTTTGTTTCAGCACTAATTTAAGTTATGTAGTAATCCATCAAAAACGGTGATGACTTAGGTCAGTGCGGCATAACAAATTCTGTTGAATACACAGAAGGATGTATTTTTCTATTGCATTTTGTTGGTTTTATTTTTTGTGGTTGTATTTTTTTTCTTACTTTCACGAAATATTACATAGCAAGGGTTTACGATGACTTAAAAATGCAAGTGTGGCGGTTGCGGTTACTCGGTTTTCATTTCGCTTTGTTTCTTTATGATGGTTCAGTAAACAACATGTCAGTGACACAGCTAATCCATGTTTTAAGCATCAGTGTAATAACTATTTTCATTTCACAAGTTACCCATTTCGTGACACTGTTTCCCTTTTTGAAAGTTCTCGTCTTCCTTAATCCCGTCCCCTATCATGGCCTAACAAAACCACAGTGCCCTCCAGGCACTCCCGAGCCGATGCCAAGGAGCTCATGTTCACAGCGCCCTCGCCGTCCAAACTTCCTCATCAGCGCCCACGCCCCCGGCCGCGCCCCGCCCCTTCCCTTCCCTCCCTCCCCCGCAATCACCACGCGCCTGTCCGCGCCTCTTCACCGCAGGCAGTTTCTCCCGCCTACACGAGAGCAAGGGGCCCCCTCCGCCCCTCTCCAGCTCCCGCCCCCCGCGCTGCACCGCGGCCAGACACCGCCACCGCCGCCACGGGCCCTCGCCGCCCACCAAATATCTCCCGAGGATTACGACCTTGTCGCAAGCGTTCATATGAAGTTACCATTAAAGGGACCGTATCTCGCGTTAACACGTCCCTCAGCATCTCCCGACGCCCTGTGTAGAGACTTTTTATTTTATGGCTACAATACGATTCGCGACATAAGGGGGATTATGATAATGCTTTCAGGAAATTAATAAACGAAAATAACAGCTCCTGGAGTCACTCACGACCGGGGCTTTTAAACCGATGAAGCGTAGTTTTAAATTTATCGACTCGCCTTTCAAGAGCGAATTTCAAGGAGAAGCATCTTCGCGTTCCGCCACACAACGGGCTTTGAGATGGCTCCAGAGAAAGCGTCCGGCCTTAATCTTTCAGATAAACATTTTCAACAACGCACGGTAATGGAACGCAAGTTTACTCGGACGAGAATTTTTCCGATTTGATACGGTTTCTCGACTGAGCTACTGCCAAAGCGCAAAAACACTATTTTTCTTTGCCAGTGCTGATGAAAAACGATTGGCCACCGTTTTTAGTTTTGGACGAAGTTTGGGAAAAATAAAAGAATGTAAGGAAACGGCTCATTGTCTTGTGAACTGAAATTTTCGCACTGTAGTTAAAAATGTTTGGAGAGGCGAAAGCAGTCAACAACAAGCGGAGTTGTTAATCTGCTTAAATGTGCGACATTATTCATATTAGTTTCAATTCTTAAATTGAGTGTATTATGTTGGCAATACAGCATTTACTTTCTTTCTCAACCAAAAAACTGCTGCAGGGAAACCTTAATTGGGAATAAGATCAACACACATGTCAGGCCATTCATTCTGTTGGTGGATGAAATGTTTTAATAGATGTAATTCCAAACGAGCAAACTAGCTCGTAATGTTTGGAAATTACGTCGTTCGTAGTTATTGAAATGATTTTAAGGACTTTGTCAATAATTGCTGGTCGGAATAATCTGATCAATGGCTACAATGAGAAATTAATTACAGAAGAATTAATCAGATACTTTTAAACCATTTGAAGGTGTGAACAAAAAATGCGTCAATCATCACAGCAAAGTAGATTGATGCATTGCATTTCTATGGCAAGCGCGATACTAACACGCGGAACATTTTTATGATCGACCGATTCAATGCACTCGCGGGTTAATTTTTTCCTTTCACTTCTCCTTTAAAGCTTTCTCGTGGAGAGTGAAGAACGAAAGCTCGATTCATGCTCATCTACGAATTTTTTAATTTTATCTTGTCGTTTTTAAAATGGGTTAATATTTCTTCCATTAGATATTTCTAATCATACATACAATATTTACGTAGATACAATAAATTTAAAATAAAACACATTAATAAAGCATTGCTCAACAGATTTCTCGTTCAGTTTAAATTTTATGCGGTAGAAAAATATATCAAATATTTATTAAATATCTTGTTGACTGAATTCTGAGACTAACCCGAACGATCTCGCCGTTAGATTACAGAATTTTGGCGGTTTATGTTTTGCATTTTCGCAGTTATGTATAGACACCTATTGAGGTATTTCTCAAAGAAAACTTTCGGAATCCCCAAGTGAAGCGAAAGCGCCTCACGAATATTGCATGAAGGTGTCCCCCGGATTCTCGAACACCCCGCCTGGCCACCGTCGAAAGTTAGATCCCGGAGGATCTCCGCGCCATAAGCCTTCGGGGCAGAGCGCGCCGTCGGTGCGAGTTTGCTTTTGGAGCGCGGGGGCGCCGACGAGCTGTCGAGTAACAAATCTTACATGAGAAGGCGCGGCTCGCGCCCCGCGGGGGCAAGAAAGTGTTGGGCATATTTTACCTCCATAATAGGGGCAGCGCCCTCCAGCTGGGCCGCTCTTCACGGGGGCGCGGGTGCGTTTTTCCACACGGGACACCGCCGCAAGCCGAGCCGCGCCCGCGGCCGCGCCGCACCCACGCCGCCGCCGGGTGGGGCCTGGGGTGGGCTGGGGTGGGCTGGGGTGCGGCTGGGTGGGCTGGGGTGGCTGGGGTGCGGCTGGGGGGGCTGGATTGGCTGGGGTGGGCTAGGGTGTGAGCGCTAGGGTGGGCTAGGGTGCGGCTGGGGGGTGGGCTGGGGTGGGCTTGGGTGGGGCTGGGGTGGGCTAGGGTGGGCTAGGGTGGGCTAGGGTGGGTGGGTGGGCTTGGAGGTGGGCTGGGGTGGGCTGGGGTGGGCGGCGTTGGGCTGGTGGGCTGGGGTGGGCTGGATGGACTGGGCTGGCCCGCCGTGGGTGGGTGCGCAGATGAGGGGAGGAGCACGCGAGTGTAGAGGGCGGGGAGGAGAGGGGGATGAAGGAAGGAGCCGCTGGCAGCGTACCAGACAAGTCGGCCAGAATGTGTTAGCGATGAAAGGGAAGGAAAAAAAAGCATTTGGTGGTGGGAAGAGAGAAATAGAAAGAAAAATAGGGAGTTGGTGACAGAAGAAAGAGGTGAAAAAGAATTGAATGTGTAGAAAAATCAACATTAATATGAAAGTTAAAATCATTATTAGTAATAGTACAAATAGCCGAACAAAAAATTACCGCAGAAGAACCCCAAAGCAAGAAAGAACTTCAGATTGTATGGAATGTAAGAGTCGTGGAGACGAAAGTGACGAATTAGAAGATTTACAAGAGTGAGCATCAGAGATGCAAAAGACAGACAGAAGGAGAAGAAAGCTGGAAAGAAACGAAGAACAAACCCTTAAAGGACGCGTGTAGTGTGTCATCATGAGTGAAACGCGGGGACAAGCACCAGCTCCGGGAAGTGATGCAGGAAGTGTGAGAATTGGAAGCGGCAGAGAGCGAGTGGCCGTATTTGGCGAATGGCCCAGAAAAAGACGTGGAGCAACGCGAGTGCGGAGGGTTACAAAGCGGAGCGGACGCCGCCGGCAGCTGGGGAGGGTTGGCGATGGCGGGCGCGGGCGGCG